GGAACGCACCGCTCAGCGTGCGCTCCACTCACCGGAAGTGACGTCAGACGTACGGGGTAACAACCGGAAATGCGTCAACGCGTTTCGCCCCTCCCATCGGGCGTTCTCAAGACGTCCATTTCCTGTCTGAAGCTCCCTTACATACCCAACAGGGACCCACCCCTCCGTTACAATTGGTCAAAACACATCCCCAGGATTATCAAAAAAACACTCCTCCTGTTTATGTGACGTGAGAGTCCTTTACAAATGAGGCATATACCTACACAACTTAAAAACCTTTTTAAATTATTCCCAACAATATTTAATTTTCTCCCAGCAACAACATGTATATATGTCCTTAGTGGGAAAAAAAACCCAAATACAATTTAAAAATTGCCTACATATTACAAAAAACATTCTTTATTAAATGAGTAATGAATGACATCACTGCTGAATAGTGATAAAAATAAAAATTAAATATAAAAATGAAAATAATGATGGTAATAAATAAAATTAAAATTAGAATAAAAAAAAATAAAATAAAAAAAAAAATAATAAAAAATAAAATAAAAATATAAAAATAAAAAAAAAAATAATAAAAAATAAAAATAAATATAAAAATAATAATAAATATAAATAAAAATAAAAATAAATATAAAATAAAAAAAAAAAAATAAAAATAAAATAATAAAAATAAAAAATAAATAAAAAAAATAAAAATAAAAATAAAAATAAAAAAATAAAATAAAAAAAAAATAATAAAAAATGAATATAAAAATAAAAAATAATTTTTATTAATTACAAATAAAAAAAAAAAAAAAAAAACTATATAAAAATACATATGAAATATATAAAAAAATCTATTTAGCAGTGATAAGACACACATAAAGAATTTTTATTAGAAAATAACTATGCTCTTACCAATTAGACAAAAAACAATTAATGTCTATGTCCGAGTTCAACCCCTTAGGGTACAAAGATCCTAATTGAAAGATCCATTTTGTTTCATTCTGCGAGATACTCTTCACCATATCTCCTCCCCTCCAAGGGGAAAAAATCCGATCAATCCCACAGAATTTCAAACACGATGGATCCCTATTATGACACATTCTAAAATGGTAGGAAAGACTGTGATATTTGTATCCTTTTTTAATATTTCTAATATGTTCACCTAATCTCACTGACAATTTCCTGGATGTTCTACCTACGTATTGGAGGTGACATGAGCATTCCAACAAATACGTAACAAAGGAACTGTCACAAGATATGAAATTATTTATTTTATAAGAGGAACCCGTAGAGCAAGAATGAAACGAATCATATCTCCTCTTAGTATCTCCTTTCATATTTCTACATGCCATACACCTATTACATTTATACAACCCCACAGTATCCAGAAAAGTTGCCTTTTTCTTAGGAATATCTGGAATATTTTTTGCTAACTTCATTCTCAATGTGGGCGGTTTTCTATAAATGAATGAAGGTTTCCCAGGTAATAAATCTTGGAGAACTTCATCCCTTTTCAGACTCGACCAGTGTTTCCTTATGATGTTTCAATAACCTTATGTTGATTTGAGTAACCCGTAATAAAAGCCAGTTCACCTATTTTTTTTTTTTCCTATTATTTGTTAGTAATTCATCTCTGTTAATCTTCCTCACTTGATCCATTGCACCTGTTAAAATATTTTCTTCATAGCCTTTTTCTCTAAACCTTTCTAACAAAATATTTGCTTGCTCTTGAAATGTCTTATTATTATCATCACAATTCCGTTTAAGTCTTATCAATTGACTTTTAGGAATGGACCTCAACCAGTTCCTATGATGACAGCTGTGGATTGGGATGTAAGCATTCCTGTCCACTTCTTTAAAATATGTTTTTGTGTGAAGATAATCCCCCTGTCTATAGATGACTAAATCCAGAAAATCTATAGATTCCATACCGATATGGTTTGTGAAAGTGATATTATAAGGATTACACTCCATTTCACGGATGTACTCCTCTAGATCATTCCTAGTTCCCTTCCAGATTATCACGATGTCATCTATAAACCTTCTAAAGAGTAATAATTTCTCATTCATCTTTTCAAATATAGCCTTATCTTCCCACATGCTCATAAAAAGGTTGGCTACTGATGGGGCATACTTTGCTCCCATCGCAACTCCAGTACACTGCCTATAATAATTGTTAGAATGCCAAAAATAATTATTTGACATTGCTAGGTCAAGACAATCTAGCAAAAAATCAATTTGATCACCTTTTAAACCTGATTTTTTTTCTCTCCAATGCCCACCTCACTGCTATTAAAGCATCCTCATGTCTAATGTTGGTATATAATGCATTAACATCAACACTGGCCAAAACACAGTTCTCTTTAATCCTTATTTTTTTCAAAACTGAAATCAAATCCCCACTATCCTTCAAATAAGATGGAAAACCTGATACCAGGGGTTGTAGGAATTCATCCACATATTACCCTAGTCTCGAAAACAGTGAGTCAATCCCATTGACGATGGGTCTTCCAGGTGGTTTTAATAAACTTTTATGAATCTTGGGTAGTTGGTATATAACAGGTGTAACAGGTGCTTTTGGTACCAAATATCTCGCTTCTTTTTTTATTTAAAAAACCTTCTTTTTCACCTCTTTTCACTAATTTCATTAATTTATTTTTATAGCTTTTTATAGGGTTACCCCTCAATTTCTCATAGGTATTTTCATCACCCACCAATCTATTCAGTTCTTCATAATAATCATTCCTATTCAACACCACCACCCCTCCCCCTTTATCCGCTGATCTTATTACAATATTATTATTTTTTTCTAATTGTTGGATTCCTCTGATTAAATCATGCTTCATCCTCTTATTTGGAACGGATAGTACCTCCAAATCATATTCTACCATCTTTTTGAATGTGTCTATACAGCAATTATTTCCCACTTTTGGGTTGAACACAGACTTGTTCCTCAAATTGGTGTGCTTATAAACCCCTTCATTCCCATCATTACTCATTATTCCACCCTTATGAGAATCAATAACATTTTGTTTGGAATTTTTACTCCAATAAAAGTAAAATTGGGTTCCCACTAAGGACATATATACATGTTGTTGCTGGGAGAAAATTAAATATTGTTGGGAATAATTTAAAAAGGTTTTTAAGTTGTGTAGGTATATGCCTCATTTGTAAAGGACTCTCACGTCACATAAACAGGAGGAGTGTTTTTTTGATAATCCTGGGGATGTGTTTTGACCAATTGTAACGGAGGGGTGGGTCCCTGTTGGGTATGTAAGGGAGCTTCAGACAGGAAATGGACGTCTTGAGAACGCCCGATGGGAGGGGCGAAACGCGTTGACGCATTTCCGGTTGTTACCCCCGTACGTCTGACGTCACTTCCGGTGAGTGGAGCGCACGCTGAGCGGTGCGTTCCAGCGGCCATCTTTTGGGATCTGTGCATGTTTGGTCTCTGTGGAGCTTCTGCTGTAACCTGGAGCTGTGATGTGAGATTCCGTGGGAGGTTGTCTTACATTCATTGTCCATCTGGAAGAAGCTTGTCCTAATAAATATGCCTTTTTAAAGTGATTTAAATGTGAGTGGCCTTAATCCTTGATTTCACTTATAAATGGTATTTTGCAATATTACACTATCTGAGATTTTTCTCTCCCGGTTGGATGGTGGAGCCTATGGTGGAGAGGAGGATTCCTATAGAGTGGACACGAAAGAGGGTTTAGGATCCCATAAAAATTCCTAAAAGGCGTTTTCACTCACCTAAATCTGGTGAGTGCATTTGATGTTGGTTTTCACGGGTGGAAGGTGGAAGTTTTTTCTTTATATTAGAAGAAGAATTTGAAAATTTCTTTTTGCACAAAGTATTTTTTGAGATTTCTGAACTTTTGTTGTCTATTAATCATGATGGACTTCACTATTAATATAATTTTCTATATATGTTTGCACTTTGTATATTGATTTGATATAGAGGTCTATGTTTGCGCTGTTTATTTATATTTATCACATTTTGTGTTTGCCACATTGCACAGCAGCAGGATAGATCCTGTAGTAGGGTGTTTCACTTGGCGCAGGAAGAATTTTTAGTTTTAAACGACTGAGTGTCTGCAATTTCTTAAGGGGCTGTGTATTGCCCTCTAGCATAGCAGTAGTGGCTCAAAAATTTTGTATGGCTCTAATCGCACCGCACCCAAAAGGTAAATGACCCTTTTTTGGGTCGACACTAGAATCGGATCACATGGGTATTCACACCTATGCGATCTGATTCTGCACATGGCACTGCGTTTTGCAGACTGATTTCGGGGCCCCGCAGCAGCTCGCATGAACAGGGTGCGATTCCAATGCAGTGCGGAATTCACACAGAAACTGCTGCGAATTCCATGCCGCATCAGTGTGAACCCAGGCTAAGTCCCTGGTCACACCAGTGCAACTTGATAGTTTCAAATCGCATGACAGGTTGCATCCCGTCGTCCTCAATGGAAGCGGTCATATCAGTGCGATTTCAACTCCGTCAGAGTCGCACCGATTTTGAAATTAGTTCATGTACTACTTTTTGCAAGTTCAGGTGCGATCTGCAAAGACACCGGTGCATGAAGTCACACAGATGTCTTCCAGGTCGCTCTGACATCAAACGTTAAAATTGTGCGATTTCAAGTGAAGTCGCACGATTTCAAAGTCGGATTGGGTGTGACCAAATACCAAAGTCTGAACTCAAGGCAAATAAAAAGTAACAATTAACCACTTGCCTACCGGGCACTTATACCCCCTTATTTACCAGGCCAATTTTCAGCTTTCAGCGCTGCCGCACTTTGATTGACAATTGCGCGGTCATGCAACATTGTACCCATATGAAATTTTGATCATTTTTTTCTCACAAATAGAGCTTTCTTTTGGTGGTATTTAATCGCCACTGGGCGCTTTTTGCGCTATAAATTAAAAAAGTGCAAAAAATTTGAAAAAAAAAAAAAAAGTTTCTTTGTTTCTATTATAAAATTTTTCAAACAGGTAATTTTTCTCATTCACTGATGTGCGTTGATGAGGCAGCACTGATGGGCACTGATAGGCGGCACTGATGGGCACTGATAGGCAGTACTAATGAGGTGGCACGGATAGGCGGCACTGATAGGCAGCACTAATGAGGTGCACGGATAGGCGGCACTAATATGCAGCACTGATAGGCGGCACTGATAGGTGACACTGATGATGGGTACTGATAGACGGCACTGACTGGCATCACTGCTGGGCACTGACTGGCACAACCGCTGGGCACTGACTGGTGGCACTGACTGGCAGCACTGACTGGCAGCACTGGTGGGTGGCACAGGTGGGTGGCACTGCTGGGCACAGGTAGGTGGCACTTCTGGGCACAGGTGTGTGACACTGCAGAGTGGCACAGGTGGGTGCACTGCTGGGCACAGGTGGGTGGAGCTAGTGGGCGCACTGCTGGGCACAGGTGGGCGGAACTTGTGGGTGGCACTGCTGGGCACCGATCATCAGGGCACTGATCATCAGTGCCCTGATGATCGGTGCCGAGCCTCGCTCTGACAACTGCCGGTTCTCGGCAGTACTTTCCTCACGCGCGTTCTGGGGGGACGTCATATGACGTCCACCCAGAACTGGCCGGCCGCAGTGAAGCCGTCATTTGGCTATCTGCGGTCGGCAACTAGTTAAACAGCAGTTTTTTTGTACTCATCCTGAAAAAAAAAATCTCACACCATCAGCAGAAGTGACCGAATCACAATAGGAAAAACCAAGTCTGGCCATACATTATGCAATTTTCTTACTAGATTTACCTTCAGTTATGCAGTGCAAGGGCCTGCCTGATTACATACAAAAGGAAAGGGTTTAGGTGTGACCTCATATTATAGGATTTTGGTAAATCTAAAGGAAAATTGTATAGTGTATGGCCAACCTAACACTGCTGACAAGCTTTCAGCTAAAAGACACTTTCATTGTTCAATATCATGGAATCCTCACCTCTCAGGTACACAGCAAAGACTCTGGTGTCATGTATTCTGGGTCAGAACTCTGATTGCAGCACCTGTAGATGAAGGGTGGGGTCTGCTAGGCCATCATGGGATATTTATCCTATGTATGAACTAGTCAGCTCAGGTACTTTAAAGGGGCATTCATTTAAAGACATAACCTATAGGTGTCCCTAAGGTGGAGACAGCTCAGATCTTTACAAACACCTTCCTCCCCCACACGTGTCCATTTACACCCACCACTCCATAGAGGAGAATGGAGGTTCCGATCGGGTCCGCCTGAAAAAAACGAGTGGACCCAATCGGAAAGTCCATGTGAAAGGTCCCTTGATTGCATCAAAAATGGACTGCAGTTGTGATTTTGGTGCATTTTTTGAGCTGATGTGGGACAACTGCAATATCACATTGATGCTGCAGCACAAAAGGTAAGTTTGTGTGTCTTTTTTTTTTTTTTTTAACAACTGACTTTTATTATTTTCAGCAAATGCTGCAATGCTCTATCATGTGGTTTTAAAGGATAACTGCACCTTTCATAACGTGTTACACACATTATCCGGATGTAACATGTTATGAAAGGAACGCCCCCTGGAAATGAACGCCCCTCCCCACTCCCCCACTTTGACAGCTAGCGGGGATCTTCTCCCTCTGCTAGCTGTCAAAATTATAAAAAACACGTAGCCGTGCAGGGCTCCGCCTACCTCAGCTTGTAGTTCTCAATGAACTACCACAGCGCTGTGGAGTGCCGTGGTAGTTCATTGAGTCTTCCTGTCAGTGGATCGGCTTGCTTGTATGGGTAAGAAGATATACTGACAGGTCTGCAGGAGACCTGCATGGCACCAAAGATCTGCTGATCGCTAGTGCAATGCAAAGAAAAAATAATAAATGCACATTTTTTTACCTGCAAAAAAAAGTGCATTTATTGTTATTTGTCAAAAGGTGAGCTTATCCCTTGAGTCTTGATCACATGGTCTCTGTTTATCAGTCACATTGTGGGTGTTTCCCATTATTAGGGACTGCAGAGACTCTGTCTGCCAGACTTGCAGTCAGCTGATGCTGCCCATACATGGTTAGAAAATTGTTATAAAAACACAGTTGGATTCAATAATGCCATCGTTGTATTGATAGATGTTATAGAAGATAGATAGATAAATAGATAGATAATTATTTCCATTTATAACAACACAAATGGTACATTTTTCATTGATCGTATACACGATCTTTCTTTTCATTGCTTGCTGAATCGACTACCAGGGTTACATTCTAACACGCACATGCGCTGTAGATATTTCCGAACTCTTTTCAATCGATTCCAGTACTAATTATGCTGTTACACAGTTAATATTTATGTTAATGTACATGAGAATTCATATAGTTTATTCTTTGTACCATTTCCTATGTACATTTCTATAGTTAGTAATGCTGCCATCCAGTGGCCTTATTTGGTAATACACTTTGTTTTTCATGTTGCCTCCCTGAGATCTATGACACAGTTCCTTTGTATATGAAGCTCCTCCCTTCTTCTTGAGTACAGAACTTCCTGTGTCATGGAGGCAGCTAACAGACCACATGTAACAGGACACATGTATTCTGCATAGTACGCTATGGAAAGTATCATCTTTTGACCGCATAATACTGGAAACCATTCATTCTGCTGTATCCTGTTGTCACATGTACAGAATAAAGCAACTTCTGGATGAACACAGTATTGGTGAGTTCAAGCTATCTGATAAGGATTGCCCACAGTGATTATATCTGCTTATACAGGCTAGGCAGAGAGGTCTCACATGGGATAAATCGCTATCACAACAATCTGAGTCAGAATAGTCAAAAGATGCATAGAATCCCTACAGCCTGCTGTGTATATGTGTGTGCCTAATCTGCAATCAAGCTCAGTGCCATCCGCCATCTTGCAAAGCACATGGTCGCACAAGCTTACTGCACTTCATGTGAATGTTGAAAACTGTTTCTCTGCATTGAACTGTGTTACCCCACCTGTCTAAGCTGCTGTTCGTCTTCTTAAAGAGACAGTACCAATTTTTGCAGAACAGTAAAAAATGTCTAGACAAGGCTCTGAACACTCCTTTATGGCCGAACCAACGCAGATACATCATTCCTCTGAACCAGCAGACGTACAGGGAGCAGATTCTGCAGACATTCCCGAACAGAGCGTAAAACCCAAACGTACAATAAAACCGACACAGAAACTCAGGGAAAACTATGAAGCCACTAGAGATGAGTTCTCCAGTAATCTGTCAGACCTCTGGGACTGAACTTCACAATGCATGTCAGTTTTGTCACACTTTAATGATCAACCAGCTGAATTAAGAGACTCTATAAATCGCCTATCTGCTGCGTATGAACGCTACCAGCGGCTGTCTGTAAAATACTCAGCTTTCTTGCAGGACTCTAATATAGAGGATTCTTCAGCAGAACTGACCAGGACTGATGCACTAAACCAACAAAGGGATCTTGCAGTGCAAAATGCTAAGTTTAAAGCAGAACTCCGCATTACTCAACTGCAGGAGACCAGATCTCACAGATCCACCTCAACCAAGCGCACTGCACTTTCTTCTAGATCCTCTCGCTCCAGAAGTTCAGCGTTAAGCGATAAGCTAATAGAGGCCCGCGCTGATGCTGAATCAAAAAAGGCGCAAAGCTTTTTTACCAGAAAGGAAGCAGAGAGAGAAGTAGAAAGCAAGCTCAACAGAGATGGAAGCTAAAAGATAGCTCAGCAAGCAGGGATGGAAGCTAAAAGCAAAGCTCAACAAGCAGAGGCAGATTCCCAAATAAAGATTCTGCAGATGGAAGGGGAGGAAGCAGCTTCCCTAGCAAGGCTGAAAGTCCTTGAACAAGCAATGGGAAAAAGTACTAATTCAGACTGCCTTATCCCAGCAGAACTGGAAGATCCAGTTGAACGCACCAGGGAATACGTATTAAAGCATAACATTTGCGAAGATACAGAGTCATCTCCTGTACCTCCTACTAACAACACTGTTCTGACTCTCAACACAGAGACCTCTCAGCTCCATATGCCTAAGCCTCTTCAAATCTACAACACAAGTACATCTATGCAGCAAACCACATCAACTCCTGCCAACAACAAAGTGACTTCCAGTGACAAGTCACAGCTCAAGCCACAGCCAGCACAAGCCTTAGAGACTACACCACAGTTAAACGCTCATGCAACATCATTTTACCCTGGTAAACCTCACCCTACATCACCAGAGAACTTTCACACCCAAGGGGTTCCACAAGTTACTTTGGCACCAAAGAGTGAGAGATCAGACTTGAATGACTTTGCCAGATATATGATTCGCCGTGAGCTCATTAACACCAGCCTCTCAAGGTTTGACGACTGTCCAGAGAGCTACAGGGCCTGGAGATCAACTTTCAAGGCTGCTATTGCTGATCTCAACCTTACTAATAAGGAAGAACTTGATTTGCTCATAAAGTGGCTGGGACCAGAATCTGCAGATCGTGTTAAAAGACTGAGAACAGTACATGTTGACCACCCAGATGCAGGTCTTGTTGCTGCATGGGCAAGACTTGAGCAAGCCTATGGTAGCTCTGAAGCCATAGAGAGCGCTCTATTCAAGAGACTGCAAAACTTCCCAAAAATAGGAAACAGAGACTATCGCAAGCTCCAAGATCTAAGTGACCTCCTCATGGAGCTAGAGTTGGCAAAGACAGACCCACGTCTATCTGGACTAAGCTTCCTGGACACCGCTCATGGTGTCAACCCAGTGGTGTCTAAACTGCCATACGGCCTGCAAGAGAAATGGGCACAACAGGGCTCAAGGTACAAAAGAGACTATAACGTATCCTTTCCTCCATTCTCATACTTTTGCAGGTTCATTAGTGATCAAGCCTGGACGAGAAACGATCCCAGCTTCAGCTTCAGTGAACCAAACTTGCCTGCTTCATCCTCATCATCATCAAGGTATGATAACACAGCAGCTAAACGTAGAGACTGTACTAGAGCAATATCTGTTAAAAGGACAGACATCTCACCCTCCACAACCTCGCCTACTGACCAAGGCATTGTGGATGTCAGAGATAAAGACCCTAATCGTCAGTGTCCTATTCACAAGAAGCCTCACCCTCTTAAGAAATGTCGTGGGCTTAGGGCAAAGACTTTACAAGAGCGCAGGGAGATTCTCCAGAAACTTGGAATATGCTACAAGTGCTGTGCTTCTTATAACCACTTTGCTAAAGACTGTAAAGTTGTCATCAAGTGCACAGAATGCGGTAGCGACAGACATGTTACAGCCATGCATCCTACTCCACTTCCAGACAACCCGCAGCAGCTACCTACCTCAACCCCTGTCTCAAATTATGGCGGGGAGCAACAAAGTCATGCTCTAGCCAAAAGTAATGTTTCTTCTTCATGCACAGAAGTCTGTGGAGAGGGAC